AACAAAGTTATAAAGAATATTGTTTTTTGTATTAATAATGAAATTACTGACAAAACGGTGAAAACGTGTATTAATATAGTTGTTTAGCATATTTATAACTCTTAATATATTTGTATAGAATGTCATTTTGATAACAAGTAATGTAAACAACTTTTATTATATTAAGAAAATCGACCAATCACAGCGCGTCTTATCATAGAACTCTCTAGAAGTTTTTTAATTAACTGCGTAAATCTCAGTCCACTATATTTCAGCGGCACCCACAAAGACGGCGGTGAAAGTACCCACCGGAACCTATAGGTGTAGGACGTGAGCGACTCGCGAAGTATCTTCGACAACATTTACTCCGGAGAGTTTCGCCCGTCTGGCACAGGACCGTTAAAAATTGACGCTACTAAATACAGCCATTCTGCAAAGTCTGAAACCCTACATGCACCGTGATTACCACTTATTTTATGATAATTTAAACCATTGATAAGATCTTATTATCTTAGTACGGTACCTACTTTTCCATTTAAATATTTACTGTTTTATTTTTAACAAAATTTTGAATTTTAGCTCCTATTATTAGTCCACATATTAATACTGTAAGACTAAGCTATTATACCGCGTACCTGCCTATTTTGTTTGGTTTTGTCAAAACAATAACTTTCATTTAAGTTTTCATATTTTTTCAGTTTAAGTTAATAAGTCATAGGGATAGGGACATTTTTATGTGATTAAAGTTGATTTTTATAAAACTTGTTTTATTTAATAGCTATGTGGTGTTAACAATTGTGATTTTTATAAAATCTGTGACATTACAAAATCGCTATGTGCACTTGAAGCATACAACGAATATTTAATACTCTAAGAATTCACCCTATGTGTAATATTCAAGCAAAGTATTTTTTGCAAGCTCATTTTTCATCTTAACTTTCCAAAACTAATCTAAATCTACAAAAATATGTAAGTAACATTATCATAAAAAAATAGTTCTTTATGCTATGAATACATTCTATGAAAACTAATTTTTTGCGTTTCCTATAAAGTGGGTCCAAAACACATGGCGATTTTTGTAATAATTTGTATTCTAAAAAAATATTATAAATTTCTTAAAAGTTCAATAGTTTAATTAGCAAAAAAAAAAAAGATTTATTAAACTAATAATAATTATACATATTCAATATTTTAATGTGCAGCTATGAATCGATAACGTATGAATATATTACCTTTGGTACTTTAAATAACGATGATTGACGCAAATTATTTTTCAGTCTGTTTTTCCGATCAGATGATAAACCACTTGCACATCCATACAATACAATATTTCACCATCTTTTAATGTTTCTTTTTGTCAAAAATTAAAAAATTACGGAGCACGATTATTTTCTCTCTAATGCCGCGAAGAAAATTTGTACATTATTCAACTAAATTCATCCACTTGTACTCATAAACAGCTAACTTCGCAGATACTACTTACCGACGGCAGTTCAGGGACAGGCGGGCTATGCTTTAGCACGTAGCGATCGTTCTCCTTCTCTCTAATCTCCATGAGTAAATTAGTAAAAGCACCACAGAGGCTACTAAGAGGTACAGTTACTTATACTCTAGCGTACATAATAATGTCCTCCAGACCAAATTTTGGCCACGGCGGCCAGCCTCAACGGAGGCTAGCCCACGGTGCAGGACAGGATTATAGTGCCCAAGTGTATGCGCAAGCACAGGTGCACTTTCTATTCCCTCGGGGGTATTCCCACTCTCATAATCCGATGGGACGGTAAACCGACATGACCGGAAACACTGCCAATTTCCTGACTCCGGGCAGTTACTGAGAATTTCTTGACAGAAAAACTCAATAATTGATTTTTTTCTGTCCCGACCCGGGATTCAAACCCAGGACCTCATGATCAGCAGTCGCACTACTACAACCGCTAGACCAACGAGGTAGTCACTCTAGCGTACATATACAGTAATTCTACGGCTCTAGTCAAAGAGTATAGTAACTGTCTTATACAGAAAACTCTAGCACTTCTTTATAATTTACTAGCTTGCCGGGCAGACTTTGATCTGTCCTTTTCGATGAACCTTTGTCATGTCCTATTAAAAATCTTTAAATTCGCAAAAAAAGTTGTGGGTCACTAATAGGCAAAAAAACTATCCTATCTCTTAAGTTGGGCCGAACTACAAACGGTGTGCAAATTTGATTACAATCGATTAAGTAGTTTAGGAGTCCATCGCGGACAAACAACATGACACGTAATTTATATATTAAGATAGTCAACCAAATCTAAAGCGAGGTTTAGATTAGCAGCAGAACTGAAAACCAGGGCTATCTCTTACACCGGTACTTTTGGCAGTTTCATGCTGCACAGGGTTTTTTAAGTGCATTTTTATTAAATTTATAATATCGGTAAATATTTGCTTTTATTTGTCCTTTTTCCATATAAAGCAAGGTTTAGATTAGCATCAAAACTTGCAGATGTTCACTTCTGCAAGCTATTCCTACCGTGTAAACAGTCACGTCAAGCTCACTTCCGCAAGTTTTGTAATTTGCAGGACTTGCCGCAAGTCGCAAGTGTAAACACTATTATGAAACTTCTGGCAGTAACTTGCGGTTTATTTTGCTTGCAAATAAAAGTTTAAAGGTGTTGATCAAGATTTTTATACATTTTTAGATTTTTAGAAATTTCATTCTGATGAAATTTTCAAACTGTATAGGTTCTTCGCACCTGAGTTGTGGATACCAACATTATCTCTTATTAATATCTAATTCTTAACCCACTTTCTATTTTTTTCATTTTTTATATGATAGGGCAGGGATCGCCAAATGGCGGACCGCGGTCCGCATCCGGACCGCCGACCCATTTTGTGCGGACCCGCGAGAACACAGTAACTTACACTAAAGACTACTTCCGATATAAATAACTTCCGTGGCCCCAAAAGGATTGACGCGAGCTGTACGTAATTTAATAAAAATGTATCCCCCGCATTATATTTGTTGACGTCAATTCGAAAACGGCCGGGCGAAGTAACGAGCGACTGAGAAATAGTTCGCGGATTACCGCAAGTGTCGCGAGGGCGGGGTTAATTCATCACGTGATCGCTCTGCCGGCCGCCAGGAGGTCAGTGTTTTGCATAGAGTAGAGTAATATATACAGAAATAGAGAGCCATCTCCTAGGATTTTTTGTCACCCAATATGAATAGAGTCGCCGCCTGGTATCATATCCCTTGAACTAATCTCAATATCATGTTGACTATAGGTAGCCGTATGTAGTTATGTATATACAGCTATGTATACTATAGGTATATTTATATTTTAAGGGATTAGGGTTCAATTAAAGACGTATTATAGATTTCAGTAATATTAACATTTACACGATGTAAAAGCGTCTATTCCGCAAAATACAACACCAAACCAAATTAAATATGTCCACCGGGTTACCGGAACGATAAATGGAAGCGTCTATTTCGCACAACACTACACAAACATACAATGTAATTCCAGCATGAAAATCTAAACAGACAACAAAGAAACAGAGGGTTAATCCCAACTCAACCAAACTTATTGTAGCAACAACCGAAAATCACTTATAAACTATAATAAAACAACAACTTGCTCAGCGCCGGTAGCCATTATGTCATATAAAGTTGCTACTTGCCATTTCCAGAATAACCAGAATTGGTGTAGTCGCCATCTAGCGCACCTTTTAGAATTTAACGTTCGAAAGTTTATGGGGATATAGTACAAGATGGTACTAGTGTCTTTGAAAAATTATTGAACCCCAACCTAAAGTATGGAAGTGTACCCCCCTGGTGTTTTGTTTTAATTTTGAGCGAAGGACGCCGCGCGGCACGCTGAAATAAATATACCCTATCAGATAGGGTGACAAACGAGCACACAGTCCACCTGATGGTAAGTGGTTGCTGTGGCCCATAGACATCCACATCTATCTTCGATTACGAATCAAAATGCAGATGCGTTGTCACCCGTGAGGACTAAGATGAAATGCCTTGTTTCTAGTAAAAAGGGTCTTTGGTTCTCTACACTCACCATACAAACACACAGCAGCATTAAGCTACTATTTTAGGCTGGTATTCTGTAAGAGCGTGGTTCTTCCCAGGTCGAGGCGACCCATTCGTGCTATAACTATACTACTAATATAACTGCAGCATGGCTCTACCACGTATAAACGTTTCTTTTTAATACTACTAAATAAGAGTACTATAGCAGCAGCACGTATTTTTCTTGACAATTTGAAATATGGGGTACGTTCCGAAATACAACCCATTACACTGGCCAATGCAAATGACGTCATAAATCGACGCCATACTGGTGAAGCTTCTTTCAGATCTACCAGCACGTAGCGGGCCCAGCACGTATAACGTAGGTTTATAACGTGGCAGACACCGCACAGACATCAGTATTCACATCTAACGCACCCGACGTGAACAGATGCCATCAGGCGAACTTTAAGGTACACGTGCTTACCATGTATCACAATTTTTCGATAGAAGAACTAGCTGTGAGTCGGGGTGGCAATCACATTCATATTAGCCGCGCGACTGCAACAGATACGCACCAGCACAAACAAAACATTCTTGTTGAGAATGCTGGAATGCTGCCGGTCCGGGTCTGCGCGGACATTGTCGCTTGCGCTAAATATGAATATTTATGTATAGAGTGTATAAAAGAATATTATTTTGTCTGCCACGCCACGTGTTTTGTACGCTCAATGTCTGTAGATCTATCTGAACGGAGCTTGATTCGTTGTATCGAATATCGTGGAATATGGTGTCCATTTGTATTTGCCAGTATACACATGCGGTATACTGGAAACATTTTCAACACCATAGACGTATATAAATTTTATTACGTCTATGGAACATACCCATGAGTAATAATGACAAATGTAGTTGTTTATATTGAGGCTTTTAAGTGATTGAGATTAATTTTTCTATGCTATTATACGTTGATGTGAATTTACTTTATTTTAAATAAATAATATACATATTTAAAATGCTATCGATCATAATTTTGATAGGTTTATCAATAATAGCCTACGTTTTTACTGATGAATTAATACCAAAACTAAGTGAATTATTTATCAAAGCGGGCATATATGGAATAGACTTGTGTAAAACTAGTAAAGAAAGAATGTAAGTTTGCTACTTCCATATATATATATATATATTTATTAAATAATATGGAATTAATTCATATTTCATTTTTAGCCCAGAAGCTGTCGGTGTCGTATCGGGATGTGTATTTTTAGTTACGAGTTTTCTTTTTATACCAATAGTTTTTGGAAGCAGTCTTATGAATAGAGAGCATTTCCCCCATAATGAAGTAAGTAAATATACGTAATTGTTAGTATGTATATTTATTCATTCATTCATTTATTACAGCACATCAAAAGTGCGCTGCCGAACTTAGGTTTTCCCATTGAATGTCTCATAAGATGGATATTTGTCGTAGTTGCTTGCTACATTTGGCAGGAGGCTTATCAACCGCAGCTGTTTATGGTTCTGTAGCTATAAAGAAAACTGGAACCCTTTTAAAATCACTTTGTTGTCTGTCCGTCCATCTGTTATCACAATTACATGAGAAAACTATATAAATACCCTAAAATAATAATACTGATGTCACATTTGGTTAACTTTATTATCAGAACATAAAAACCTTAGTGCTCCAGTCAACATTGGTGCTGAGAAGCACTTGATATATTAGTAGTACAAAATAAAATTTGTATGTTAAAATCTGTAAAAACTGTTTCCATTTTTTAAGTCATAAAGCCTTCTTAAATGGTTTATTAGTCTCCTCTGTGGTTAGAAAAGTGTGGGAGGGTTATTGGATAGTTTTTAGGATAGATGTCATATAACATATTTGAATTGGAATAACCATTGCAGATATTTCTTATCTTAAATTACACATCGTACTACTGTAATAGCAGTATCACATCTAAGCTAAGATTTTTGTTATAGGATAATGGTTTTTCAGAATTATACAAGCATATCTAATATAATAAACACTACAATATTGTAATCCTTTACAGTTTGCGGAATTACTGGCTGCATTGTTATCTATATGCTGCATGCTACTCTTGGGATTTGCTGATGATGTTTTGGATTTAAGATGGAGATACAAATTGATTTTGCCGACAGTAGCTTCATTGCCTCTACTTGTAGTTTATTATGTAAATTTTAATTCTACTACATTTATAGTTCCTATACCACTAAGACAATATTTAGGAGCGTCTGTAAATATTGGTAAGTGGTCTGTGAATTGATTTCATATATAGTTGTCCTAAATATCAATGTCAAGCTAGATATCCAAAATTTATCTGATAACTCTCACTAAATAAAATGGAAAAATCTATAGGCATTCAAAATAAAACAGAATAATTGTTACCCTGTGATTATCTTTGAATGACAGACTACTAATACTCACTTTTTTTCTCTAATGACTGAATGACAATTATGTACAGTGTACTGAATGAAATTGAAATGAAAATTAATATACTCACAACTGCTTTAGTTATAAAGATATATATTATTTTATTGCACAACCATAGGAATCAATAATTTTGAGTACAAGCCCCGCACTTTGATATTGCAACTGGCGACCATCTTAGTGACATAGTTGAATTGTCAGTACCGTTCGCAAGGTCAGCCAGCCCTTACCGCTTACGCGTATAGGGTACCTCTAACCACGTGTTTTCATAGCTTTTTATTTTTGTTATCCTGTTTTAGTTTTGTTGCTAATTTTTGTTATTGTTATCATACTTAATCTGTTACAATGAGTCAGAAAGTAATTAACAGACGTGCTTGTGAAATGATTATTAAAGTGGACAATTATTTTGTAAACGAGAAATAAAATATTTACAATTAAATACCTATAAATATATGTATATAATCTTAATACATATAAATTACGTGTCACGTTGTTTGTCTGCGATGGATTCCTAAACTACTTAACCGATTTTAATCAAATTTGTACACTGTGTGCAGTTTGGTCCAACTAGAGAGATAGGGTAGATTTTTTTTGCCCATGAGTAACCCACAATTTTTTTTGCGACTTTAAGGATTTTTAATAGGACATGACAAAGGTTCGTCGAAAATGGCAGAACAACGTCTGCTTGGCAAGCTAGTGTATATATATATAAATTACATGTCACGTTGTTTGTCCGCGATGGACTCCTAAACTACTCAACCGATTTTAATAAAATTTGCACACCGTGTGCAGTTTGGTCACACCTGAGAGATAGGATAGTTTTTTGCCCATGAGTGACCCACAATTTTTTTTTTGCGAATTTAAGGATTTTTCATAGGACATGACAAAGGATCGTCGAAAAGGGCAGAACAACGTCTGCCTGGCAAGCTAGTATAATATAAATACCTAAAACCCAAGGTTATTAACATTTTTCACCAAAGGCAACACCTCACACGAAAAGAAGATTAAAGTTTTTGTTGTCTGTACTTTTTTGCGGTGGGTGACGTCACGTAGCTGTTATTGTGACAAGGTTCCATCGCAATATCAACGGCTTATAAAATTATTACTTCGCCTAACTTTGACTATATTGAAAAAATGTACAATGCTATTTTAGCAACTAAATTTGAAGATGGTGTATTATTTGTCAGAAAGAAATTTTTCTAATGAAGTCCAATTTTAAGCTAATTCTTTTACTTAATGCTTGTATAGAAAAGAGCGTGAATCCAATACAAAATTAAGCCAAACTGTCGGGTTTAATTTAAAAAAAAAATATTCCTATCACTCAATAAGTGTCATAATTTTTTTTATTTTTAGTTGTGATTTAACCGTGGCTCTCGCCCAGTGACATTGAGTTTTGAGTCTGATAAGGTAGTGGTTCAGAAATTCAAACAATTATTAGTTCATCAATTAATCACTACTGAAACAGAAACAGAAACTTTTTTATTCAATGTAGATTATAACAGCACTTATTGAAAGTCACTTTTTTTAATTTACTGGTTACGAAACACTGGTTCGCAAAAAAAAACCTCTGTCCTGGGAAGAACCAGCAAGAAACCCAGCGGGACTGCTTCATATATTAAAGCTACGGCAATAGCAGTCTATTTATTTATTTTGACCTCTTAACAAGAAGATGCTGCTGCCCATCTCCTATTTATTTCAGTCAATAAAATTTATTAAATAAAATAGTCTTTCATTCTGTAGCGAGTGATTATTGTTACAAAAACCATACAAATTCAAAGATTTATTAAAATAAGATCTGCACTAAAAAGACCCACTAAATTTTTTTTAATGTGGACTGAGTTAATGCAATATATGTTTATTAGTTTTATTAGTTGTTAAGCTAATATGTTTTGCTAAAATAACAAAGTATATTATTATCTAGAGTAGTAAGTTTTTTTGCAGGTTTCCTATATTACATATACATGGGAATGTTGGCAGTTTTTTGTACAAATGCCATAAACATTTTAGCTGGTATAAATGGCCTAGAAGTAGGTCAGTCAGTGATAATAGCAATATCTATTATAGTTTTTGATGTCATAGAATTGAGAGGAGACCAGTATAAAGCACATTGTTTTTCACTCCACATCATGATACCATACTTAGCGACAACTTTGGCATTATTAAAACATAATTGGTAAGCATATATTTTAAATTCAAATATATCATTATATATAAAATTCTCCTGTCCGTGTGAATGTGACTGAACTCCTCCTAAACGATAGGAAAGATTTTGATGAAGTTTTGTGTATGTGATTAAGTTAATTCGATTATAGTTTAGATTCACAATTTTACCCGGTAGGTGGCGCTGTTGTTGAGATACAGAAATCACACGTGCGAAACCGGGGCAGATTGCTAGTATTGTTATAAAATTGCTTTTCATATGCCTAATTATTAGGGATGGGCCGAATATGGATTTTACCGAATACGAATATTCGGCCGAATATTCGGTAAATTTTTTACCGAACCGAATATTCGGCAGGATAACCCCGGGATCTAACCAATTTATGTCGAAACTTGTTACCGTAAAGCGCACTGGATTAGCGCCTGACCCTTCCCCTCGCTCCCCGCCACACCTGACAGTTATTGCATTATCTAGTACTGAGCAAATTGCCGGCACATGCTTATGTTTTTACTATTCTTGTGATAAAAAAAAATATTCCGTTGTTTTACTCTTAATTAAAGTTACAGCCTATATACGTCCCACTCCTGGGCACAGGCCTCCGCTCATTCCTGAGAGGGTTTTAGGGCAAGGAATTGTCCGCCGCACTGCCCCAATAGGCTTGTTAGCGAACTTCACATGTCTTCGAAATAATTTTTTCTTATTTCTCAGACATGCAGGTTTGTTCACGATGTTTACAAAAAATTTTGTAAATCAGCGCTTAAAATTGCAATTAACAATTCGCGCACTGTGAAATTTACAGCGAGCGCTAACCATTTGAGCTACCACGGCTCTTTATTCTTAGTGAATAAAGTAAAAGCCGTGAGAATTGTATACTTAAACTTTACTTTTGATTAGTGTTGTTGTTGATTATTATATGATAAAAATGAGGAGATTTACTATTTGGACTTATTTTAGAGAAACTGACGACCAAAGTGAAGTGAAATGTACTAATGTAATGTAATGTTTCTTTGTTTGATTTCAAAAACATTTTATCAAGTTTCTATTTGCCATAATCGGAAATAAATCCACGGTGCCTCAAAAACATAAATGTATAGATTTATGCATTTGAGGCACTCTAGTGTAAGTATATTTAACCCATAATTAAAATATACTTTCAACAGTAAAAGACATCGCATTACTCAATTCGTACATTTCAATACATTGGACACTATGAAAACGAATGTTCGGTAATTTAGCCGAATATTCGGAAGCCCGAATATGCCATCCGAATATAAAACGAATATTCAGCCCATCTCTACTAATTATAAAACATGTCATGTTACAAACGCTAAAAAATTCGGAATCATATGCATTCATATGATTCAAATGATTAAAAGTGGATGAGCCATGTTGCAGCTGTATTATAGTTGCAGAATGAATGGATCGGTTAGTTCAGGGAAGAACAGAGTAGCATCAGTAAAATAGCTGCTGTGTTTAGTATTGAAAAGGAACTCAGGTTCGGGCGTCCTCTCAATCGGCCGCAAAGGACCAATTGAAAAGGACCAGGTCGGTGTCCCTCTTGATCCTGAAAAGGACCAATTGAAAAGGACCTAGCGGATCGGGTACTAAGAAACAGGAATCGAGGCTTCTCTCGATCCGGCCTCCTATCACGCCTACGTTGGGTTCGGGAACAACGTATGTGATCTCCGCAACGGAGTAACACACTAGGGCGATAACCTCTTCCTTTTCAGCAAGTAGGTTCAGACGGGGATTACGGGTCTTCCGAAGTCGTCCCGGTCCCGACGCCTTAATTCTTCGATGTGGACTGTATAACTTAAAGGATCTTGGGAATGAAACAGCAATTATCTTCAAACCGTTCCGTGAGAGAGTAATCACTTTTCCCTATACTGCTGGTTTTTCACTTTTCTTGAACTTTTTCTCGGATTTTCTTATTTATTTCCGAACTATTTCCGAACTTCCCCGAAGGATTCCCGAACGATTCCCGAACGATTCCCGAACGAATTGCAATAAAACCCGTTCACTAAGCTACCCCAGAGCTATACGCGAAAGTGAGCCGCGCCATCTGCGCGCTTGCGCAACTTAATTACATGAATTTGTTCTATTACTCTCTCACGTTTTACTCAATATCTTTATTTATTCAAATCATATACAAATACAATTTATCAATATAGGTAGTACAAAACAATATCTACACCATGATATACATCATATCTTCATATCATAAAAAACCTTTTATTTATTAAACGAAAACTGCCTATTTTACTCACAAGTTCGAAATCGAAATTTCTTAAATATTTAACACAGAAAGTTAAAACAATGTTTCTCACTTGAATTTATACATAAGCTAACCAATACAATAGTTTAATTTACATTTTTTCTATTTATTTCACTATTTAAAACACTTTTAAATTTCTTATACAAAACTATCATTATTTCACTTATACACAGGAATTTTCACATGAAAATAACACAGAATTTACCTTTTTTAGCACGTACAATTAACCTGAAATATTTTACAAGTAATTTTTACATAAATCACTGAATTACAAACATTTTAAATTTTTACATATTCGGCCTCCTAAGGGCGTGGCCAGCGTGCTTCTGTGTACTCACGCTATGTGAACAACTAACTTTGCACGGCTCTCGGCTATCAGAAAAAATTAAATTATGAAATACACCAATTTTGACCATATTAGGCAAATTAAATGCTCTTATACAATTTTCGAACTGTATGAAACTATCTTTAATCAGATAACAATATAAATGAATGTTCTCATTAATCAATCATAACAAATAGGCATTTGTTTTCGTACAAAACGTATCAAACTTATACAAAACAACATTTATGCAATTAATATCCATTAATTCTGCCTATGCACAGAGTGATTATTTCGACCGGGGAACAAATCCGATCTTTAACTTCACTTTAATATTCTTTACGAATTTATTAAGCGATATTACTTAGGAAAACAAACAAACTAGTCCGGCCTGGGAGTCGAACCCAAGACCTTCATATCATTAATTCGACATTTCTTAAAGATTTAACTAAGCATTCTCTTATCAGAGCGTCGTTGCTCGTGACTGCCCCTTTTTTCATAGCAACGTCATCGGTTGATTTAATAAACTGAAACATTTTTATAGGCGCGTCGCCAACAAGTATTATGAATGCAGAGAACCGGTGAGTCTGTTTTACTGATAACGAGGCGTTCCTAAGGGATGACAATTTTTATTTTTAATTGGTTATCATATTATATTGGCGTGCTAAAAAAAAAACAACTGGCTCACCCGTCAAATTTTCGCTTTGTGTTTTGACCATAAATTATAGTTCCACAAAAGTTTTCATGCCAGTGTAGATGTTGGTGATTATAGATCACAACATCCACTTCACTTATCATGAATCAAGACGACCTAAAACAATAATGCATCGAAGGATACAATAATAAAGCTGCGAGGCTCAATATGAAATCACGATACAATACTTATTACATAACACACACTTCTTATAAAGATGTAATACCTAAACAGGAAGTATAAGCTAATTCCCAATAATAATCCATATGTGTATGTATGATCTTCGATGGATGGCGAAATTGAATGAGATATACATGCCTGATAAAAAAATCTCAGCAACGGGGAGCGGTATCAAAGGCATAATATGATATATAGATACTAGGGCCTAGGCGCAAATTACATTTGTGCAGAGTATTGGGAGTAGAGCAAATCGTGAAACCCAAAGATTTAAATAGTTAGATGCGCCTTCATCTTGAAAACTGTGGCATTATTTTTGGATGTGTTCGTTTGCAAGACGCCGACGTGCGCATACTAATGCAATAGTGTCATCTCTTATTATCATACAGAAATTGTGTATACTACTTTCTCTGTCGCACAAGTGAGCACTGATTGCGAATGAGTGAGCTCACTCATTTGAGAATGGACACATTTGGCCTTTATTTGGTGTATGTTGTTGTTTCCTTTAAATATTTTTTTTTCATTTCTTAGACATGCAGGTTACTTTACGATGTTTCCCTTTACCGCCATAACAGTTGCATCGCAATGTGTGTTGGCGAACTGTGATGTCTTCGAAATATTTTTTTTTTTATTTACAGACATGCAGGCTTCCTCACGATGTTTTCTTTCACCGCCGAATACGTGGTAAATCAGCATTTAAAATTGCAATTAACAATTTCATTGGTGCCGGCGGTGATCGAACCCGGGTTGCTCACGTACTGTGAACGAATTTCATAGTAGACCCCTAATTCATATAACTGCGATTCATCTAAGCATCTTTACAAGGAAACTAAATTGAAATAAATATGTTTTCTGTCGTTAACTGTGATCTACAATGATTCCAATATATTGATATTCGATGACCTCTTTGCTACTTTACCAAGAGGCAGATGCAGGTTCGAATCTAAGCAGAAATCAATATTTTTGTAAAAGAAAATGTTGGTTTTTTTTTTATTCAAGATGTGTGTAAAGTGATTAACTTCAAACCGTTGGTATATTTAACTGCCTGCCTTCGATGCAATAGCATAAGCGCTACTTCGGAATCAGATGCAGTTTTACTGGAACTATTTGTTTTAGGTTTAAGAGTATTGCATATAATATGCTGTGTAGGAAATTATATTTGCAGTATAATTTCCTACATAGCCCAAATTGGCTAAAAAATTCTGCGTTTGCAATCAACCAAAATTGTTTATATTTATCAAGTTTTCGTAGTATGTTCATGTTTAAAATTAAATTTATTCTGTTAATAGGTATCCGTCCAAGGTGTTTGTTGGCGACACATTCTGCTACGTATCGGGCATGACGTTCGCAGTAGTTGGTATTCTTAGTCACTTCAGTAAAACTGTGCTATTGTTTTTTATTCCACAAATAATTAATTTTTTATATTCAGTTCCTCAGTTGTTTCACATAATTCCCTGTCCAAGACATAGATTGCCTAAATATACTGCAGAAACTGATTTACTTCAAGCAAGTAGAACATTAGTAGTTAAGAAAGATTTAAACTTCCTTAGTAATTTAATTATATACATATTAAGTAACTTAAGTCTAATTGAAAAAACAGAAGATGATGTTAGTATAACAATAAATAATATGACGTTAATTAATCTTTTTTTAATAAAGTTGGGTCCGACAACGGAAGTAAGACTAACAGTCACATTAATATTATTTCAAATACTTTGCACGTGCATTGCGTTTTTAATTAGGTATCCAATGGCATCATATTTTTATGATACCAAAGTATGATTTGTTATTCACCAAAGCACCGATTTTGTTGTACAATCAAAGTAATAAACATTTCTGTTACTAAACTCTTGTTTAATTTGTGTTTGTACATTACCTTGAGTCATAAACCGTTATCAGGAATGCGCATTAGTGTTCTAAGGTCAAACAAAAATATCTTAATATAATATTTTCCATACTTTCTATCTACAGTATATATACAGCATGACCGTTTGATTACTCTTCGTTAAGACAGTCAGATTTTTTGTCAACGAGTATTTCTGAAACTGCGGTAGCGTGATTTAGGCTTCAGTTCATTTCAAATTTCTTTTGTGGCACTCGACAGGGGCGTCCATTAATAAAGTGAGGCGATTTTGGCGATTTTTCTACCCTCCGAGATGTCATGAGATCGAACCCATCCAACCCCTACCCCCCAATCTTACGTGAGATGTTTAAGCGACAGTAGCCTAATGACAGGGTGCGGACCGCGAACTCAAAAAGTGTGGTTTCTGGATTTCTTACCACGAGTGGTTAAGGGGTATATTAGTAATGTTTATAGCATTGTTAATATTCTTTTATAAAAAATGCATATTTTAGTGTAAATAGGTTAATATGTTTTTTTAATAGGACTAGGGTGACAAACGAGCACACAGTCCACCTGATGGTAAGTGGATGCTGTGGCCCATAGACATCTAAATGTATCCTCGATTAAGGATCAAAACGCAGAATTTGTTTTTTATAGAAGAGGGGGCAAACGAGCATGCGGCTCACCTGATGTTAAGTGACTACCGCCGCCCATGAACAACCGCAACACCAGGGGAATTGCAGGTGCGTTGCCGGCCCTTTAGAAAGGAGTAAGCTCTTTTCTTGAAGGTCCCCAGGTCGTATCGGTCCGGAAAAATCGCCGGTGGTAAACTATTCCACAGAGAGGTCGTACGCGGAAGAAAACTCCTTGTGTGACGTACATTGGTGGACCACCAAGCATCCAGATGGTGTGGATGGTATCGAGACGTTTGCCGCGTAGTGCGTTTACGAAATTTGGCGGCTGGGATTAATCCGAACAATTCCTAAGAGCACTCCCCATGGTATATGCGAAAGAATATGCAAAGAGATGCAACATCTCTTCGCAGCGCCAGTGAATCGAGCCGATCGGAAAGCACTCGGTCGTCGACGATTCGAGCCGCTCTGCGCTGGATGCGTTCAAGTGGAAGGAGCTGGTACTGGGGAGCCCCAGCCCAGAGATGGGAACAGTATTCCATGTGCGGTCGAACCTGCGCCTTGTAAAGTTGCAGGCGGTGTGCCGGTGGTGAAATACTGTCCAGCTCTGCTGAGCACGCCAAGCTTTTTAGAGGCCAATTTGGCCTTCTCTTCCTAGTGACCACGAAACTGCACGTCACTCGATATGTCGACGCTGAGGATTCCGATACTGGCTGAGGCAACAAGGGGAGTGCCTTTAAACTGGGGAGATACGACAAAGGGGTTCTTTTTAGCGGTTAACGTGCAAACTTGTGTCTTCTGGGGGTTAAACTGGACTAGATTTAGTCGCCCCCAATCCGTGACTCCGTTCAGCAAAGACTCGACTTCAGACACAAGTTTGTCCCGGTACTCGGAGACGTTTTCCCGAGAAATATTGGCACGGCCGGTGTACAGAGCATCACCAGTGCTGTCATCTGCATATCAATGAATGTTACGGGTTTGCAACATAACATTGATATGCAGAAGAAACAGCGTTGGCGATAGCACGCAGCCTTGTGGAACACCAGCATTAATAGGCTTGTATTTGGAGCTTGCGCCGTCTACAACGACCTTGATGCTCCGATCTGCAAGAAAGCTGGTGATCCAATCGCACAATTTCTCGGGAAGCCCATAGGAAGGGAGCTTCGAAAGAAGCGCTTTGTGCCAAACCCGATCGAAGGCCTTCGCAATGTCCAAACTAACGGCCAATGCCTCCCCCTTGGACTCTACTGCCTCTGCCCATCTATGAGTTAGGTAGACCAGAAGATCACCAGCTGATCGACCACGGCGAAAACCGTATTGGCAGTCACTAATCAGCTGGTGATACTCAAGGTACTTCATGAGCTGGCAGTTAACAATAGACTCCATTGTTTTGGAGAACAAGGAGGCGATGGCGATAGGCCGGTAGTTGAACGGGTCTGAGAGGTCGCTTTTTTTAGGGATCGGGTGGAAGAAAGCCGTCTTCCATGATTTTGGGACTACGCCTAGGGAGTAGGAGTACCGGAAAAAACGCGTTAAAACCGGTTCCAACTATGGAGCACACGTCCTCAGCACAATTGGGGGGATTCCGTCAGGCCCACTCAACTTGTGGATGTCCAGGGAGAGGAGTGCTTTGCGAACTGAGCGCTGTGTGAACTGCACTTCCGGCATGGAGCACTCACACCGCTGGATGGTCGGCGGCGTACTCCTCCCGTCATCGAGAGTCGAGTTGGACGCAAAGAAAGAGCCTAGCAGATCGGCTTTCTCCTTTGCGGTAACGGCCAGTGAGTCGTCCTTCCTGTACAGAGATGGCTGACAGAAATTCCCCTGGACAGCCTTGGCGAGACACCAGAATGCATGGGTTCCAGAAGGAAGGCGAACTAGTTTCTCGTCAATTCTGCCTATGTGCTCTGACTTTGCCTTGGCAATGACTCTTTTGAAGGACCTAGAGGCGGAATTATACTTCTTTTAGATTGCTTGCGCTGGTGTTTACATCCCGGGACGTTGATGCGTCAGCCCAGGATCGGTAGCACTCCTGCTTATAGCATGATGCTATTTTACGGGAGCGACCAAACCATGGCTGAGATTTGCCTCCAATGGCCACCACAGAGGAAGGAATAAAAAGTTCCATATCCGGAAGTACCACATCAGCGACAGAGTCAGCAACAACCTTGGGATCGTCCGGCGAGAAACAAACCCGCCCTCAAGGGTAGGATGCAAAGAAAGACCGCATCCCATCCCAATCGGCTGACCTATAGTGCCAAACACGGCGGCAGCGTGCAGAATGCAACTGCGATTTCAGCGTGAGTGGCGCCACACTCCGGACAAGACAATGGTCCGAGGAGCCTAAAGAGGCGTCGACGGAAATCTGATATCCGTCCGAGTGAGAGGTCAGCAGAAGGTCCAATAGGGAAGGTGCATGATCCTCAACATCTGGAATCTGCGTAGGCGAAGTAACCAGTTGTGTCAGACCATATGCCAAAGCAAAATCATAAACTGATCTCCCCGCATGATCGGTTAAGCGTGAACCAAGCCATTCGCCCATCACGCGCGTTAAAGTCGCCGAGGATCCCGATCTCTGCGGAGGAGATCTGCTGTAGCAACGAATCTGTAGCCATTTAGACGTGGTCGAAGAGTCGGTCTGTTTCGGCATTACCGCTATGGGATCTATAAAAGATCCCGTAGACGCGCGGATGGTCGTCGCTGTCTATGCGTAGCCAAAGGATGGACTGGTCCGAACTTTCAAGACTGCCGAGGCGTCGAGAACAGATGTCCTCTCTGACGTAAACACAAACTCCAGCCCGAGGCACAAAGGAGTGTTCCAGTTTGTACCCCGGGTAGGAGAGATACGAGACATCAGCCGGAGAGGACACCTGTGTCAGAAAGAGCAGCGTCGGCCTCGCCGTCTGGAGGTGGTAGTGGACGGCGTTTAGGTTAGAGTGAAGTCCCCTGATATTGCAGAAATTCACGGATAGCGTGGCAGGGGTCGCCTTGGTCTTGTTGCTCCGTTTGCCTCGAGCAGTTGTAGTCTTGAGCGGGATTTTGCCCCCCCACCAGAATACGTGGGGCAGTCGGAGCACCCACGCTCAGGAGTGGAGTAACTTGGTCATGGATGCTCAGCGAGGGATTCTACAGGGGTGCTGGTACCCTCCTGGGGTAATTTGACATTTAATTCCGCTACCATGTTGATGGGGGGGGGGGGATTTGGGCCTCCAGCCACCTGCACTCACCAGACGAAACGCGGAAGTGGGGCTCCGGTTTGAGCCGACCCATACGTGCAACACTAAAGCTGCTGCGTGGCTCTACCACTGTTGAACCACCAGTGATGCGTGGTCACCCGTGAGGACTAAGATGGAATGCCTCATTTCCAGTAAAAAAGGGTCTCCGGATATCTACACTCGCCATACGAAATAGAGCAGTATTAAGTTGCTATTTTACGCTGGCATTCTGTGAGAGCGTGGTCCTTCCCCGGTCGAGCCGACCCATTCGTGCTACGACAATAATATAGCTACGAGGGGTGATCCTAAAGTAATGATAATGAAAATAAAACACGGTAATCAAAGTTAAAATAATAATTTATTTTTCTACCTAGTCTCCTAACATATCAATACATTTAGTCCATCTTTTTTCTAAACCCAGGATTCCCTTTGAAAAAAATTCTTTGTCTTGACCCTCCCAAAACGCTTCAATAGCGGCCATTAATTCGCTTTCGTCTTTGAATTTCTTGCCTGGGAGGCGTTCCTTGAGCCGAGGAAAAAGGTAGAAGGCACTAGGAGCTAGATCTGGCGAATAGGGAGGGTGTTCGAGCAGTTTGAATCCCGTTTCTTGAATGGCAGCCATCGCAACTGCGGCTTTGTGAGCCGGTGCGTTGTCTTGGTGAAACAACACTCCAGCTCGCAGTTTGCCGCGTCTTTTTTCCTTAATGGCCTCCCGTAATCTTCTTATTTGGGCTGAGTAGTAAGAGCCCGTTATAGTGGCTCTCTTTTCCAAATATTCCACCATAATTATGCCTTGAGCGTCCCAAAATACAGATGCCATAACCTTTCCCGCCGAACTTGAAACTTTGAATTTTTTTGGCGTCGGTGAGGAGGCTCGCTTCCAAGTCATCGATTGTTTTTTCGTTTCAGGATCAAAATGGTGGGATCCAGGTCTCGTCCATAGTCACAAAATGGAACAAAAAATTTTCTTGATCTGCTTGGAACTTTTCGAGATTGACCTTCGAAATGTCAACTCGATTTTTCTTTTGCTCGTCGGTTAACATTCTGGGTACCCAACGCGCCGAGACCTTTTTCATATGCAACTCGTTCGCAAGGATTCTTTGAACGCTGCCATATGAGATCTCTGTGACCTCAGCTACATGCCTGATGGACACTCTTCGATCTGCCAACACATCTTCGACTTTTTTCACGTTGTCTTCAGTGAGGGACGTGGATGGGCGTCCTTCGCGATGTTCATCTTCAGTGGATGTTCTGCCCAGTTTAAACTCCTTGGCCCAGCGTGCAACTGTAGAATATGGAGGAGCAGAGTCCCCCAATGTTTCCACTAAGTCACTGTGTATGTCTTTTGAAGAAATTTTTTTTCAAACAGAGGTACTTGACGACATCTCTAATTTCGTTTTTCTCCATGTTGATGTTATCTCTTTGACAGTTCGTATTCAAATGAATGTATCCCCCTTTTTTTTTTACGCCCGAAGCAAATATGGGCAACCCTCCGGAAAGCGGGGGAGGGAGGTTGGGAATGCTCATAGCATACCACGCAGCCGGCTGCGTGGTTATGTGGTGACTTTTACCCACTAAACCCAACCTTTTAGGAATTGGCTTAACGATCTGACGAGAGATCTCTAAGCCGTATACGAACGCGACCCTCCTTGGCAGAAAGGAGGGCGCAA